CCCCACTAGTCCAGCGTCGCACATGGTCCTGTGAAAATGTGGATCGGGTACACGTCCTTTCTTCAGCTTTGTTCTGATCTGTACACTGGTGTCCCTGTTACTTGGAGCCAATGGACCAGTCTGATGGCAGCATTGCAGGAGCGCAGATTGGTCTGTTTTACAGCATTGGGCACATCCATGCTCTGTGACTAGTGAGAGTCCTCCTGTGCCAGCTGAGTGGCAGCTCTTCCCCATTTCCTAGGTTATAGGACAGTGACTGGCATTACTCTTCATCCTCCAGCCATCACCAGTTCTGCCCTGAAACGGGGTGCTGACTATGGCTGGTACATAACATGAGCGCCATCACTATGGTATACGTGTCAGACAGAGCTGCCAATTGGCTTGGTTTGTGTGATCAGCCCATTGTCAGACATTGGGTGATGTTTTTTTTTGGGCACATTTCCTATTTTTGATGCATTAAGACCTCAAAATAAACAAGCTGCCAACGCACCTTATAGTGCCCAAAATCACACATGACCCTTTCTTTTGTTTTCGTAACAGCGTGCTATGACGCAGGTGCATTGCATTAGTGCATATGGGTGCCATTCAGAATGACCAACTCGTGTTACTACAACGCAGAAGTGTAATTGGCTCTGTATGTTTATAGAAATTTTCCCATATTGTCTTCAGGTACAGCAACCTGAAAGATGATTGGTTCTTTCCTCTACAGGAAACCCAATTAGGATCTCAGTTTAGATTGTGTTTCCTACTGTCCAGGACTTTGCAACCTTTTGTTTTCTTTCCTGACCGGCTGGCCATTGGGTCAGCGCCCCCCTCCTCCGATGCAGCTCTGCTGGGTTATGGTTGAGGGAAGCTTTGCTCTCTTTTGTCAGAGGTAACCCTAAGGGCTTGTTCACGGCAATTGCGGTGCGTTCCAGAGCGGTAGATGCTGGAACGCACTGCAATCGCTCAGGCAACTTCCCCCTGCGTTTGGGGGTGTGGGGGGTGCATTGTAGTCGATGGCACCACGCCTCCCCACCCGCAGTGCGATCGGAGGCGTGGCAAAACATTGCCTGCTTTCCATTCCACTGCAAACGCAAAAAAATGCTGCTTGCTCTATTTTTTGCGTCTGCAGTGGAACGGAACGCAGGCAATGCTTTGCCACGCGTATGGATGGGAGGGACGTGGCTGCAGTGCCATTGAATTCAATGCATCGGCCTGCCCCAGAACGCAGGGGGAAGTTTTGTGAGCGATTGCAGTGCTTCCAGCAGGTCCGCTTTGGAACGCACTGTAATTGGTGTGAACAAGCCCTAAAACGCTTCCAGGACCTTGGCTCCCTCCTATTACAGGGGGTCGACTCCTGAGAACCCCAGTCATGATTGCCATGTCCTCTTCCCTTTCTGGGGTAGAAGTGTAATTGGCTATGAATGTTTATATATTTTTTTTTTCCAGTAATAATAAACTGTTATGTGTGTGTTTTTTATTGTACACAAACACATTTTCAATTGAAATAGAAAAGATGAGAGGCATCCAGTTAATAAAAGGCAAACGTATTATATGTAACTTAAAAATCACTTGCACCTAGGAAACTGACTGAAAAATGACAATGCCCATCATTGTACACGGAGAACACCTTAAAAAACCTTTGTGGAACATCACACTGATGGTGGCCCTTGTTAAATTATTGTTCCACCTTTGACGTGTGTGGGGATACATAATGAAGGTTGCATCATTGACGTGTGTGTGTGTGTGTGTGTGTGTAACTGATGTTTACTTCTATTAAAAGGGATTATTCAGTAGCAGAGACATGATGAGCCCTTTCATTTTGCTATACATCCTTGGCAGTACAAGGCTTAAAGGAGAACTATGGGGTTAGGGATTTTCCCCATAGTTCTCCTTATGGTAACGGGAGGACACAAACTAGCGTCCTCCCGTCACCCTAGGCTCAGTATACTGCGAGCTACAGCTGAAGCGGACCCTGACAATTATGTCTGGATCCGCCCAGCTGCCTGACTGACAGCTGGCTCTGCCTATCTAGAGGCAGAGCCAGCTGTACCCTCCCCCGTCCGTTCCACCAGTCAGCGCTGGCAGATCGGAGCGGGGAGGGGGGAATCCAGCCCCTCCCCTGTCACGGCAGAGAGCCGTGACAGGATCGAGAGGTGAGCGAACGCCGGTATGTGTTCGCTCACCTCCCGATCTACTAAGCCGACCTGTGACAGTCTCATTGTCACAGGTCGGCTAGAACTATGAGGTGAGTGAAAAGCACTCACCTCATAGTTCTCCTTTTTAAAAATGGAGAGTGGTCTCTTTCTCTTCACACCACAACGCACATAAAATCGCACTGACAATTGTAATATATTTTGTCCATTCCTTTTCTGTTAGGTACGTTACTCCAAGCTGTAGTGATGGCAGAAGACCGCCAGGAACCGAAAGAAACCCAGGAGGATGCTGATGAGGAGGTAACACCAGAAGCCAATAGGACATTGGATGTTGCTGGATCAGAAGATGAAGAGCTCCCCAGCGGCGATGCCTCCGAATGTGACACATCGGAAGTGCTGTACCCAGATATCTTTTTGGTAATTTGTCTCCCACATGTATAGGGGGCGTGTTATTAAATGTGTACAGAATATGGTGTAAGCAGTTGACACCACAGACAGTTTGCCATGGCACTTATTATATTGTTCTTATTTCACTAGCTATGTTGTGAGATGACTGACCCCATTTATGAAGCCGTGGTATGGCTATACCTTTTGCTTTAAAACTAAAAATACAGAAACCTTAACCCCTTAAGGACCAAGCTTCAGATGCTTGTCTTTCAGATAAGGACCTAAGCAATTTTTGCTGTATGTGTTCAACCGCAATTTCCATCTCTCCCATTTATTGCACCAACACATATATTATATACTGTTGTATAAAGGACAAAAAGGGCTTTAATTTGGTGTGACATATGTATTTAAAAGTTCTCATATAGTGCATGGGGGAAGCTTAAACCCTTAAGGACCCAGGGCAGAATAATTCCGTCATGGGTCCTTATGGCACTGACAACCATGATGGAATAATCCAGTCATTGGTATTTAAGGGGTTAATAATAATAGCAGTGTGCTTACAAAATGAACATTATGGTCTACTTGGAGTGGAGCTCTAAATGAAATGAAGTATCATTCATTCCATTGAATAATTGATAATAAAAATGCCATGAGGAAGAGAGCCCAGGCATGTTACCTGTCACGTGACCATGTGTACCTGTCATTTGCTGTCACAATGTCGCCCTGAGGAGGGGACCCTGCGTGGCCCGGAAACGTTCGCTTATGTGACAGTTAATTAATTTTACAAATATGATATCCACATCTTTGGACTTTGTGAGGGCCGGTGACTTCTTCATTCTTGAGTATGCACGGCGCCTTCCATGTTATCACTTCAAGCACTGCAATCTAGGAACTTTTATGGTCTACAAATGCCGTATGGAAATGCAGGTGGTGCACAATAACACTGTCATGTGACCAGACTCTCCAATCTCTAGAGATGGAGGAGACTCTGCAGGCACCCCATCACAGCCTGCATTTTATGAATGGGCCATTGAATGCAGATGCAGTGTGGCATAACACGGCGTTATATAGTGGATAGTAATATCTGCTTACTGCTATAAATAGGCCCCTTTGTTTCACATTTTGTCAATCTGTGTAGCACAAAGGCCCCGATTTCAATGCCCCAATCTGTGTAGCACAAACCACCCTAAAGGTCCATTGACATTATATCCGGGAGGCTTACACACTACACAGTTGTTTCTAAACTTTGTTCATCGGTTGTAGGAATTGCCCGACCTGACTGCTTCTCTCTTATTGTAGAAATTTTTACAGCAAGTGGTGAATACAAGCGAGAAGAAGCTGTGCAAAGTCCCAG